TAAAAGGAGCCTGGGGGTGCACACTTGTGATGCCAGCGCTCTGGGAGGCCAAGGCCCGAGGGTTGCAACTTCAAGGCCAGCTTGGGTAAAGTAGCCATTTAGGAAGAACCTGACTTGAAAATAAAAGCTAAAAAAATGAGAAGTGAAAGCTCTGGGGGTGATGCTCAGGGCATGGTCCCCAGGTTCATATCCCAGTACTGAATGAAAGGGAGGTAGCTGTTAAGTAAGAAGTATCCCAAAGGAGAAAGCAGCAGAGCTGGCTGACTTGTGCGTGCTGGGACAAGTAGACAGGAAGCCCCAGACCGCAGGCCTAAAGAGGGCCCCGGGCCCTGTGATGGGAGCTAGCGCAGCGGAGGATGAGCCCCCTTCAGGTGACATCGGAGCTCTTTAAACAGCAAACACCATCCCAAATATCAAGGCCCTGTGCCTTTCTCTGCTGCTGTGGTAGATTAACAAGTGCTCTGTTCCATAAATATAGTCTAAATAAAGCCTGCACTGTGCTTTAACTTGGCTGAAGGCAATATTAATGGATGCATTTAAACTATACTTGGCCCCGCCCGTCACTACACATGCACCAATTTAGGCTTCTCACAGGCTTCTTACTGGCTGGGAGAAGCTACTTTGGAGACAAATGCTTTCTCTGTGCCTTACAAATAACTGTATTCAGACTCACAAAGCCCAAGTGTTGTAAAAATATTAGTATTCAGATGCTCTTGTGTTTTGTTAATGCATTTAATTATGTACAATATAGCTATTGTTTTCCTTCCACATTTGCATTAATTTATATTAGCCACAGGATATAAAGCACAGCCACATTGTCACTCTTTAGCTCTTTCTGTTGCTCCTGCAACTTACAAATCCATTTCATGGCCTTACAAAGACTTCAGCTTTATCCAGCCCTGATGATCTCTGTGTCACCTTTGCAAACACTGAAAGGCAACCTTGCATTCAGTAAATATGCTGGAAATATCAGTGGTCTTAGGAAACTGAATGTAACCAGGATTGTAAAAGAATAGTGCTACTGGACATTCCCAGCCTGGCTTCTCTACTTGCTCTGGATTGGGCAGCCTGTTTCCTAGCTCTCAGCTTGGCTGGTGCAGATAACAGGTCGGTTGGGAGGTTGAAGAAGCCTGCAGCAAGCCTGACTTCAAGCTGTCCACCTTGCACTGTGGCCCTGGCAAACATTTGTAACATGTAATGGGAGTGACTTACCTGACTCTGCCTTGGAAATAGGGCTTTATCAATTGCACTTATCATTTACTGACTACATGATCAATGCCATTAAGTAGGCATTTTCTCCATGTGCAGGATTTGATGGAAGAGTTTAAAATCTTCCATATCTGTGTTTGTGTGTATATGTATGTATGTATATATATGTATACATACATATACACACAAACACAGATATGGAATATATATATATACATACATATATATGCACATGTATGAATCTATACATATATATGCACATGTATGAATACATATATATGCACATGTATGAATCTATGGGAGTGTGAACTGTATTTATACCTGTTTCCACCAATATGCATAACAAAGGAAACAGCCCACCGAGGCTCTCAAGGGGAGCTGCCCCCATAGCTGTTGACCTGGCTTCTACACAGCCCCACACGGAACCTGGACAGTGAAGCTGGTGCCACGTTTGTGCTCAGGAAAGGCAGAGATTTTTTGCTATGCAGAGACCATGGGAAAACCAGAAAAGTAAAGGAAGGAGCCCCACTGGCATCAGAGCCCTCGGGGTGGCTGGGGCTAGAATGTGCAGTCTCAACTGCCCCAGATCCCCCCAGGGCAGCAGCTGGAAGCCACGGGCTGTCCTGGCCTTGTAGCCACTTGGCTGCTGGAGAGGCTGCAGAGTTTTTATAAGCATTGCAGAAGAGGAAACAGAGACCAGAGCCACAGTTCTAGTGGTGCTCTGTTCCCGTTGAGGGGGTGGTGCGGTGGTGTGTGAGTTCGCATCTCCGCATGACTGATATGAGTAACACCTGCTTCAGTGGCCCCAGAGAGTAGCAGCTAGGAGCAGACGAAGTCACTCAGCCCAAGCACCTTTCCTCCTCCTATAGGCTCATCCTCCTCATTACCAATATTAAGGTGTGACAAGTGTGAAGACTTTCTTAGGACATAAAATTCTTTCCAACATTTTTTTAAAAACTAACATCTCCCGGGTCAGTGTCTTTTCCACACAAATGGAGACTTCAAGTACTATTCAGTGCAAAATCAAAGTGTCTGCAGAATGATTTTCTTCAGTAGCATGTTTGTGACTGTCCAGATCATGGGAGCTGCACAGAAAGGTGGTCACACAGCAGGACTGAGACTATCTATTCCCAGAAGGCCTGATTGCCAGCTCAGCCTGAGTGCAGTATGGGTGCCAGCCTGTCAGACTGCTCTGCACCCCCTTCCCTGCCTTGAGAAGGTGGTCACTCTGGGGGGTTTCCTATTTTGTTTTTTAAGACAGGGTCTCACTGTATAGTTCAGGCTCACCTTGAACTCACAGCAGTCCTCCTGCCTCAGCCTCCCAAGTGCTGGGATTACAAGGGCGTACCACCATACCAGCTAAAGCGGTCACTCTGCCTGAGCTGTTTATGCCCGTGACGTTGTCAGTACTGGGCATGCTCTCCTGTTCTAGGGATCTGGAATCTTGGTCCGTGCTATACTGAGGGCCTCTGTGGTCAGCCCCCAGTGACACCTTTGCAGCTGAGTGTCTCCAGCAGAGATCATGTCACTCATGTGTATAGGATGCTGTTAGGGAGACGCAGCAGGCCATGTGACCCCTTGGTGGCTGGCCGCGTGTCCTTCCCGGCAGTGAATCCAGCCGGCAGTGCATCACACTGTGGTTACTCCTTGAGGGTCATCAAGCCCAGGGTGGCCTTGGGGCCCAACACAGCTGAAGATGTCCTTTCAGAAGACCAGTATCCCCACCTGTAGCCTGCCCACTTCCATCCCTCATCCTGGCTTTGAGTACCTTGCTGCTTTTGCCTTGCCTGGTATATGAACTCAGGGGCCGTTGCCTGGCCTCCCCACCCAGGCACCTTGACCAGCTCACAGGTTGCACCCCACTATGCATGAGCTTTACCACCACTTCTTCCTAGCCTCAGCCTGGTCCTTTCTTACTCGTGCTCAAAACAGACTCCTGGTACCGGCTGCCCTACACGCCATTCAGGATGAAGGAGAGAGCCAGCCATTCCTGGCCTCTTCCTCCCACAGCCTCTGTGTCCCTGGCTCTTGATCTCCTACTCTTCCCTTTCCATCAGGTCCTCATCTGCTCTGCCCCATTCTCCTCTCTCCTGGGGGCCCCTCCTCTCCTTATTCAGCAGCTCAGTGTAGCAGAGGCCAAGCACAGAGCTCATTCCCACTAGGCCTCTAGGGAGTGAACTCACACACACCCCATGTCCCCAGGGCTCTACACTCACCTTCAAGTGCTACCTCGAGAGGGCCTTCTTGGTACCTCTGTGTGCTCCCTTCATTTCACCAGCTGATTGGAAGTGTACAGCTTGTGACAAATGACCACAAGCAGGGGGCTTAAAATAGTGGCAGTTTACTCTCTCACCACTGTGGAGACCAGAAGTTCTAAACAGGTATCTAAAAGCTACAGAGAAGAATCTGTCCCATGCCTGGTGGTGCCCGTGTCCTGTGTGTCTTGTGGCTTCCTGTGGCTTGTATGTGTCCTCCAGCCTCAGCCTCTGTCTGACCCTTCACACTGTGCATTAGCAAAGCGGAGTTCAAATTTTCCCCTTTTACAAGGATAGCAGTCACCAAGTGGGGCCCCCTACTATCACATGACCCCCATATTTATATGATCACATCTGCAAAGACCCTGCTCCTAAAGAACACACATAAAGTCATGGAGGGGGTAGCACGTGGCCAGAGCATTTTGAGTGTCCTGTGTCCAGTGTCCTGTTCCCCTGATTGGATGTGAGGGTGGTGTGCAGCAGCCATACCTTGCTTGTTACTGGAGCACAGATGTCTAGAGGGGGGTACATTACACATAGTAGGTGCTTAATTAATAATGGATGGACAGATAGACAAGTGGGTGGAAGAAGGGTGAGTGGGCAGATGGTGGACGGACAGATGGATGAATGAGTGAGTAGATGGGTGCTACTGAGGACCTGTCAGTGCATCAGTGAATTGGGGGCATAGCTGCATGGATGAAACTCCAGGAAAGCGGGTGAATCCATATTTTCTGTGGGTGATTAATAAAGTCTGGGGAAGAAATTAACTAAATCATGTTCTCTTAAAACTAACTCACAAAAAAAAAAAAAAAAAAAAAAAAACTAACTCACTGTAACATGAGATCAAAACGAGTATGGTCCTTTCTGTGAGAGATGTTAGTGGCAGGCTCTGAGGGGTGGTATGCAGCAAGAACTGCCCCACTCCTGCATTAGGTATTCTAGTCATTGCTGCCTGCAGAGGAGCAGCCAAATCAAAATGTCCCGAATAAGCAGTTCTCTAATGCAAGAGGCCTCTTGTGGAATCTTGCAGTGGAAGAATTCTGAAGGCCCCATTTCTTTACGGCATGAATTGCAAAAAGCCGTGGGCAGTTCCATTTTTACCAGTGTCACTAAAAACACCTTTTGTGAAATCCAAGCCCCAGCATGTCCACCTTATGCACCAGTGGCCTGTTAGGTAACCAGTGTCCCTGAACTCCAGGGCTCTCCAGATGCCATAGGCAGTACTGCAAGTCCTGGTATGACTGCTATGTCTGCTGGACTGCCTTTTGAGGAAGGCCGGCTGTGTCTTATCCAGGGTGCCAGGCCTTGAGGCACTGAGCAACCCCAGGATCTTCTGACAACCAGCCTCACCGAAGATGCCAGTTCCAGGTTGGTTTCTGTCACAGGCACTCTGAGGCTCCCATGGGGCTTCACAGCACTGCACACATTCTGTGGATTTTATAGGAGACAGCTAGTTCAAGACCCTTGGAAGAAAGCAGCTTTGTCCCACTCACTGCTTTGCACAGGCCCGTATTCATATCTCATTGTTGTTTGCAGGAGAGGCAGATGCGAACCAGAACAATGGGACCTCGTCTGAGGACACGGCGGTGACAGACTCCAAGCGCACAGTGGACCCAAAGAATGCCTGGCAGGACGCCCACCCAGCTGACCCAAGGAGCCGCCCCCACTTGATCCGCCTCTTTTCCCGAGATGCCCCGGGGAGGGAGGACAACACCTTCAAAGACAGGCCCTCTGAGTCCGACGAGCTCCAGACCATCCAAGAAGACACTGCAGCAACTTCCGAGGGCCTGGATGTGATGGCGTCACAGAAGAGACCCTCCCAGAGGCACGGATCCAAGTACCTGGCCACAGCAAGTACCATGGACCATGCCAGGCATGGCTTCCTCCCGAGGCACAGAGACACGGGCATCCTTGACTCCATCGGGCGCTTCTTTAGCAGTGACAGGGCTGCGCCCAAGCGGGGCTCCAGCAAGGTGAGCTCTGTGGAGTAGATGGACTGTATTTTAACTGGAAAGAGGAAAGGAGCAGTCCGTGTGGTCCAGGCTAGTGAGGAGGCTGTGATGTGTACTCTGAGTGTCTAATGTGCTGGGCCAGCTTATGGCCCAGGGAGTGGGCCTTGGCTGCTGCTTGGGCTATTTTCACCTAATTCCTTTCTTTTTCCTCTCGCGTGAGACTGTGATCAGGGTGTGACTCTGACATGCAAGGCCCTTCTGCAGTGCGTCTCAGGATGCCTGGACCATAGGCATGGCAGGGAACGCCACGCTCCAAGGCCTGTCTAGCCTGTGCTTGGGGCTCTGACTGCTTCTGCCTCTGCGCCGCACTTGTGGGTTCAGTGCTAGGTTCTGCTCGTTTTTTCCTGGGTCAGTGCTGCTAGCTTCCTGTTGCTGTACAGTGACATGACTGGGGTAGAGGAGGCCTTGTGAGCAAACTCCTGGCTTTAAATTCGCCTTGAGTGAACTTTCTCTTTGGTCTGAGTCCAGTGGAAGGGGAGAGGGACATATGAATGCCTGTGAATCAAAACCTTATTATCTTGTGATCTCATTAAATTGTATATGGAATCTTAGAAGTTTTACTATTTAAATGCAGATGTTCTAGGAATGACAGTGTATCCCAGGGAATGCTCTCGGTGGTCCATTTTCCAAGAGTGGCCTCTTTGGTGATTGGGGGTGGTTAGCTGTGCTGCAGTTTGTTAAGCATCCAAGCCCAAATGATGTGCAGATCACAGATGGGTGCATGCAATAAGAACTTAGTAGGGGGCCAGGGAGATGGGCAAGGGCCTGAGTTCAATCCCCATTCCACCAAAAAATAAAAAAAAATTTAAAAAATAAAACAAAAAACAAGAACTTAGTGTTGGATAGGTGATTAATTTTGGGAAGGTGATTTTTTAAAAAGGCCCTGATTTAGTAGGTGTTCTCAAAACTCTGTTAAGATTTCTTCTGTCTCTGTATTACACTTATTCTGAAAAGCATTGTGGAATATAAGAGGCTTTTCAATAAAGTAAGGAACATCAGCCAAGTGGTGAGGACATGCCCTCAAAACAGCCCGAGGGCAACTTAGAGCTACCGCATTCTAAAGGTTAGTCTAGGACACAGTTCTTAAGGTAACTGATGGTCGTGATGAGCTGAGACAATCATAAATGTCAGCCTCCCTTTCCCTGTGGGCATTGGCGCTCTCAGGTGGCAGTGACTACTGACCTGGGAACCTGAGATGTCGGCTTGTGACAGTCGCTGTGACTTAGCTGTGCATCCCATTTGGGATGGCTTAAATGCTTATGGAATTCGTGTTCTGGCCAGTTGCTTCAGGTCTGTGTTTCTGGATGCTTTATTTTTTCGTCTGGCAGCATTTGCTCACCCTGAAATGCCAGTCACCTGGCTTCTTCCTAACACCAGCTTCGATGGGGTGCCCTTTCACACAGATCCATCAGCCACGGCACGTCTTGGTGAATCCTGGACTCCAGGTGAAGTCTGGCTGTTATGCCAAGCACCTCATCTGCAGGCCTGGTAGCCAGTTTTGAAAACAAGCTGTTTTGCTCAATTGAAGGAACAGGAAAAAAGATATTAAAACTGTGTCAAAACAAAAACAACAAAAAGATTAAATGGTCAACTAGCATAAATTCCTTAACAGGCTTCATTTTTGTAGTAATGGTTTAAGTTGAAATAAAGTTGTGAAAGTATTTATATCTAGCATTGTGCCCGGCTCAGAGTGGAGCTACAAATGCATCCATGTGCCTCTTCCTTCATGAAAGATTACAGCCACCATTATTTTAAGTCTCTGATATTTCAGCATTGGAAAAAAAAAAAAAAAAAGATTCTAGGCTCAGATGCCTTTGCAAATAGCATACCAGGGATCCTAAAAAAATAAAAATAAAAAAAAAATAGGATTTTAAGAGATAAGAATAATTGTTTAGTAATTATTTTTAAAATTTTAAGCTATCAGTTCTTTCCACTAGTGACTGTTTTTAATATAAAAGATTTTTAAATCAACAGCCTTTCTCTTGGGTGCCAAAACTTGCTGCAAACACAGGCTAGCCAGGCATGGTTCTTCGCAGGGTCCCTGCTGAGACACGTGGGGGGTAACTAGCATGGGTCCAACTCAGCTACCTTATTAAAGATTATTTGTTTGCTGTCAGACACTGGAATTCCAAATGTAACTCATCATCACTTAGTGATAAACCCACAGTCTTCCTAGAAGTCTTGGGTATTTATTGGTGTAGACTGGTATGGAGCAATTTTTAAGTACTTTTTTTTGTTCCTAATTTTAGTTTTCCCTGTTAATCAGGAGGGCTCTTATTTTAATATGCTAGTAAGGTGCTTTGGAGAGATTTAAGCTTGCGAAGACAATCTAGAGACTCGTTACTGGCGCTCATGACAAAAGTTGGTCTCACCATCTCCGTTCCTAAAATAGCTGTCAGTGCACAAGGGTGCTGGAGGGGCCAGACCCCACCCCAAACTGGAGAAAGCAGTGTTTGCTCATCTGTCCAGAGTTTTCATGGCAGAGTCCAGCAGGGCTCTAACGCCCCCCTAATCACCCTAAAGAGGCTGCTGTCCAGCCCCTCTGCCCTCCCTAGGCACTGGCTGGCCTGTGGCACCATGTGAGGTGCTGCCACCCCCGGGGCATGGAATGCACGGACAACACCAGCCTTTGTGCGGCTGGGGCTGACATTCAAGGAAAGTGCACGAAGAATTCCTTGAGGAGGCATATTCTTCTCGGAGCCATAAATGAAAAGTGCATTTACAGAGAGCATTCTCCTTTGTTGTTCAGAAAGAAAGGAGGGCTGTGCTGTGGCCTTTAAGGAACAGGTTTCCGGTTCCCTGGAATGTAGGGCCTTGTGGGGGAAAGGTGGGGTCTCTGTGGGGAAAGGGCAGCCTTGGCAGAGGCTGGATGAACTGGCTCAGTCACCGCACCTCTTCCTTGGTCAAGTGCACACCAGCTCCCTTCCTGCCTGCCTGGGTCCCTAGTGACCCAGGCTGCTGAGGCCTAAGAAGCCAACAGCTTGAAGCTGTGCGCTCCGGAGACTCCTTCCTATGTAAGGAGGTGGACATGCTGAGGTTGACAGCCCCACACAGTTCGCGCAGAAGGATGCCGGGCAGGAGGAACTAGTCCTCCTCCATAGCACCGCACTTCTAAAGCTAACCCCCATATGATGGCTTTGCCTATTTTTCTTTACTTATTTCACATTAAAAACTCTATTCATAACCTGCTGGGCTCAGCATGTCCTTAGCATTCAGATTATTTATGTGCCCTTAGATGTGACAGTGCTGGTAGGGCAGGTCCAGTCACAGATGCTATGGGGTATGGTCAGTCTTGTAAGTCAACCAGGGTGTTCATTCCGTGATGGTTTTCACTGCATTTTAATTTCATTAAACATCATCACTTCTCAAGTAACTTCATTCTCCATTGTTGACATGGTGTGTCCTAATTCTGTGCTGTGTTCTGTGACCCCATGAGAGGGTACCAGGTCAAAGTGACATGAAGGACATAGTAGAGGGCATCTCAGTGGCATCTGGAGGATGTGTCAGACCCCGCAGTCAGGACTGGGAGTGGTGGCTTTGCTCACCACAGTGTAGGAAAGCTTGCAGAGACCCATGTGACATCTCCTCATGAGGCTGTGGTACCTGACCCAGCCACTTACAGCAACAGTGTGGCAAGAGCTGTGGCCACAGACCTTCTAGAGAAACCATAACCCAGTGGGCTGTGTTCGTTTCTGTACCCATAGCAACACTTTCTGCTACATCCTGTAGGAAATACCTGTCCAGTGACTTTACCCCGATCAGCTCTTGGGCGTCTCTGGCTCAAGTACCAGCCACCTACTATGTCCTTCTGTTACCCTGGGATGCCATTTCCACTGTCACTGAAATCAGAGAGATTATGTTGGGATTGACGTGCCTGTTTTGGGAGTGGTTTTGCTGCACCCTCTGTATAAGTGATACATTTGTAAGTTATATTTGTGTATTTAATGATGATTGCCCCTAGCAGTTTGTATGACAGCTTGATTTTGTTATGAACTTCTGCTTTATGTATATTTCTGCCTTTTATGAATTGATTAAAACAGTTTAACAGACCAAGGATGGTGTACTAATTGCATGTAAACTTTAAGTTATCATTTCTGGTGACACTGGCTCATCAGTTGCACAGTGCAGTGGAGATCTCCATGGCCTTGTGACGGGACCAGCCGGTAAGTCTGACCACCTGCACTCCTTCCTCAGTGGCAGGCCGAGGCCACAGTCTCTCACTCATCTGCCTTTATCCACAAAGACATTCTGTCTCCATTGACAGCACGGCGTCCTGGTGTTTCTGTCATGACTGTTCTTGCTCTGCTGTTTTCAGTGTTTCTCTCAAAGCATGATCCTGCAGCTCTCAGGGGAGGATGGACCCTGTGTAGGTGGGCCCAGCATACACAGAGCAGGAATTAGCACACCAGTGGCCTCCACTCCTGGCTCTGTGGTGGGAATGTGTTCAGAGGGCAACTGAGGAATCTCAAGGAACAAAGAGGAGCTCACTGGCTCTTCTTGAGAGTGCTTCTGGGTGCAGCAGAGGTTGGGGTAGGCTTGGGTGGCTGACAAATGAGAAACAAGAGGGAAGAAGACTCTTAGCTAGTGTAGGCACAAGCTGCCCTCCCTCTGTGTGACCTGCCCTGCCGGCGGGTCTTCTAACTTCTGCTTCCCAACTCATCTTCATTTTACGGCCACTGATTTCCCCCACCTTTGACTTTGCTTTTGATAAAAGCATTAACTATTTGGCAAAAGGCAAGTCTTGACTGGTCAATGTCCAGCTTAGCTTGATATCTGAAAAATAGGTAATTACTGGGGAGAACACATCATTGTCTCCATCTCAGCCCATATGAAAATCTTCTGGTTTCGGATTTAAGGATGATAGAAATTTCTTACCAAGCTCTGATTTAACAGATTAAGAATTCTTTCTGTTGTATCCATCACTACCCTCTTAAATGCCCTGAAATCATTACTAAAAAGAAGAAAAGGCTAAAGAAAAAAATGACGTTTTCTGGGTGTGGTAGTAGAGAAGACAGAGCTAGGTAAATGTCTCACTGTGCCTTTCTTCCCAAAGATGGCTTTGTGTCACACAGAAGAATCATAAGGGGACCATTTTCCTCCGCTGTTGACAAGTTCCTAGCGTGGATGTGCCCGCATGCCACTGGTGGAGCACAGCTATGTCTTACTAAGACAGAGCAGTCATAGCTTGTCCAAGGGGACATCCTCCAAGTTAGATGTCCAAGTGTCTTTCTCTGGTAATGCATTACTCATTAACTAAAGCCACCAGCGACCCCTGCTCGCCTAGAGATAGCCCCTCACACACAGTGGGAAGGAGCATTTCAGACGCACAGCTAAGCCACGGCCACCACAGATTTGCTGCTGCGAACTCCAGCGTGATAGTTTCCACTAATACAGCGGCACCTCGGCGCATGAGCTCAGTTCGTTCAGGGATGCCGGTCACAAACCACATCCGAGAGATCTGTCAGTCACTGCTTGGATTCAGTGTGGGCCTATGGGCAAAGTTTATTTGGTTTGTGACCTGAGGTGCCGCTGTAGTTCTGAGTGCGCTAACACTCTGGACCCTGCTACTTAGTCATCTCCGAACAGAGCTATCACTAATCTGTTTAGAAAGAATCCCTTTCATCTATAACCAGTACAAGAATTGTCTTGAAACTCATCACTTTTATCTTTTCACCATTGGAAGGCAGTCTCCCTACATCTTCTCTTCCTCCTCCTCCCCCTCCCTCCCTCTCCACCCTCCCTCTCTTCCTCCCTCCCTCCTTCTCTCTCCCCCTCCCTCACTCTCTCCCTCGACCCCCTCCCTCTCCCTCCCTCCCTTTTACCCTCTCACCATTTGGTGTGGATAGTTTTCCACCGTCCTCTAGTGCCACTGTCCAGTCCCATCATGTGCACACTCTCATAATGAACAGAATGGGAAGAATACACTAGATTCAAGGCAAATCCTATCTTCCAAGATGTATAGCAGCAGAGTTGGAGTTACCATGTAATTTATGCCATAGAATATTAAATTCCCAAGTTCCTAAACTTCAGCATAAGACAAAAGAATGCCAGCAAGAAAGTGTCACACTGTGTGGCTGCTAGAGGGACTTTGAGCACTGCTACTACTAGAGATATTCCCTTATACCCTACAGGAGACCCAAAGAGGCCATACAGCGATGTCTACAGTCAACCCCGCAGAGCACAAGTGAATTAGGCTTCTAAATGCAATGCACAGCTGACACCCTTATAACAAAAGAAAATAAAACTGCAAATAGAATTCATTGGGAACTGTAGCCACTTCATCACAGACTTCAGAAAGTCTCCTTCATGCTTTGCCCAGACCATGGATGCCCCCTTCCTTGCTATCTTAGAAGCCACTCGTGTCCAGGGCCTGTTCCAACATTGAGAACATGTAATCACATCATTTGGTACAGAACCCCGAAACAGACTCTGGAAGTCATCTTCTCCCTAGTCTTTCCCACACTCCTTCTCTCTGGTCCTGCCCTCCCCTTCTCCCTGGCCTCTCCAGGGACTAGCCATCCATCAGCCCATCACTCCTCCTCCTGAGCACCCTCCCCACATCCTCCATCTCCCACTTGCTCCACCCTGCCTGGGTCTGGCCTCGCCCATCCTGGAGGAGCTTTGCTGAGGACTGTGGGGTGTGCAGGCTGTGCCCACCCTGGACTCATGCCGCCCGCTCTGTGTCCTCGGCAGGTACCCTGGCTAAAGCAGAGCAGGAGCCCTCTGCCCTCTCATGCCCGCAGCCAGCCTGGGCTATGCAACATGTACAAGGTAAGACACAGTCGCTGTCCCCAGCTGCATGTGAACTGTCCTGTGCACAGGGTCCTCGGAGATGGTCACATCATCAGTGCAGGCAGGCTGGTTCAAGGGTGCTGCTGTGTCCCAGGAGCACAGCAAATTATCTGGTGTATCTGTGAGTTGTGGCAAAGCCAGGGAGGTGTGTCCTGAGGGCCCCGGCAAGAGGATTCTACAAACCACCCAACCAAAGAAACACAACAGAGCAGGTGAGCCAGGATGGGACAGGCAGTCAGGTCAGCATGCTGCAACAGACTGCATTGTGACCATCTGTGATATCCATGGCCGGGGCAGCTGAGGAGCCTGGGATAGGAAGCTTGGCCTAGAAGGGCCGGCCAGATAGCTCAGCAGACTAAAGCTCCTGCTTAGGCAGATGCAGGGACCAGAGTTTGATCCCCAGTGTGCTGTGTCAGGCCCCCACTACCCGGGGCATGCTGAGATGACCATTGAGACTAGGCGTGGGAGCGCACACCTGTAATTCCAGCACTTGGGAGGATGAAAACAGGAGAATCACTACGAGTCAGATCTACGTAGTGAGACTCTGTAGATCCTATACTAAATATATTTGAAAGAAAGAGAAGAAAGAAAGAAAGAAAGAAAGAAAGAAAGAAAGAAAGAAAGAAGAAGAAAGAAAGAAAGAAAGAAAGAAAGAAAGAAAGAAAGAAAGAAAGAAAGAAAGAAAGAAAGAAGAAAGAAGGAGAAAGAAAAGAAAGAAACCTTGGCCTAGACATGGTACTTGCAGGACCTTGTTCAAGGTGCTTTGAAAATCAGTGCTGAGTAGATACGTAGTACTCACTCAGTAGCACATGGAGGCCGGGGAATGGCTCTAGGCGTAAGCACCTGCCTGGCAAGCACAAGGTCCTAAGTTTGGTCCCTAGTACCAAAAAAAAAAAAAAAAAGGAAAAAACTAATGTCTGGACTCAACAGCCCATGAACTGGCCTTGGAAGGTACCACCCAGGACTGCGTCCTCACTGAACTCAGTCACGCATGCATAGGTGAAGGACCTCTCCAGGCCTGGCCTCACTTCGTCACTGCTGCTGCCTCTCAAAATATGTAGATACCCAGGAGGCTTCAGGGAAGGCGGGGGTACACACTAATGTCCCTTGTGACTTATCCTTTAGTGAGGAGTGTTCCAAGGGGCCCTAAGCAAGCTGGGGCCCTTGATGTATCTCTGGGATAAAAGCAGTCACCGTGTGTACCTTGGCCCCTGGGGAAGTGAACAAGGTTGAAAAAGCAGTACTCGAAGCGTGAGCACGGAAGTCATGCTTCCCTCGCGCCAGTGACCGCCATGCCTGCCTGCATGGGGCAGGGAGCTGCCAAGGAGTCGCACTAGGAAAACATCCTCTGTGGTGGTTACAGGTGGCACAAGGGAGCAAGGGGGAACCCACAGCTGCCCGCTGCAGTTCCAGGGACAGAAGCCACAGAGGAGGGTGTTGCTGCCCAGGCCTGGACTAGCAGGGTTGAGTATCGGGAGTACTGTGCCCTCCCTCTTAGGAATAAGAGGGGCAGTGGGAAGTAAGGTACTTGCCCTCAACCTCCAGGCAGCCAGGCCAAGGCTGGGACACCAGAAGAGAGCAACCTGGGGTCCAAGACACCAGGGTCATGGAGGTGCCAGCCCAGACCAGTGCCAAGGCAAATGGTGGTGTGAAGACTGTGAGTAGTCACAGGCTGAAGTTCACCAGAAGGAACCCATCGCTGGTCCTTGGAAGGGGGCCTCATACAGGGTGCCCGAGAGTGTGACAATCTGACTCAGGCATGGCTATGCAGCCATGCCTGAGAGTACCTTGTCCCTCCAGAGCCAGGCTTCCCTGGCAACCACCTGGACCCAAACTGGGGTAGGCCTGGGCATACAGCCTTGGCTCCAGGCCCGGGAGTGCAGAGCTGGAGGGAAGAGCATTTTCAGTTCTGCAGCAAAAGTGTGTGGCCTGACCAAGTGGAGCCGGGAGCTCCAGGGACTCCCCTCATTGCCCAGGTGCCCCCGTGCGCCCTCCTTCCATCTGCTTGAGACACATTGCTGCTCTCAGAACGCAGCCCCCGCAGAGAGATGGAGACTGCCAGGAGCACCATGACATTGCAGGGTGGATCTCAGTAAAACACTTGCAGCAGAATGTTTGATTTTTCTCCTTTAAAACATTGCCTATGGGCCTATAACCCCAGCTACTCAGGAGGCCAAGAGACAGGATCAAAATTTCAAGGCTGTATTCCAAAATAAAAAATATATATAAAGGGCTAGAGATATAGCTCAGAAGTAGAGCATTCCTGGATTCAATCACCAGTACCACTCAAAAAAAAAAAAAGCTAGCAAAGAGGGAAAACAGCCATCCCCTCCCTGCAGGCCATCCCAGGCAAATTGTTCTTAAGCATTTAAATCCCTGGCCCAACCTCAGCAGTGGAGAGCTCTGGTCTCCAGAGGATGTGTTAACAGGTAGGTAAGACACAGCAGGTCTCCAGTGCTGGGCTCTTCGTGCTCACTCTTCCTTTCTGATGCCCCGCTCTGGTCCGAGCAGGGTTTGGGTTGGTTTGCCGGAGTACACACTTGAGTTTTACTAGAATGAATCAGACAGGGTAGGGGCTGGGTGTGTAACACTGATCCATCTACCAAGCATGGGAAAAGCAATGGAGCAGCTAAGGTTGTTGTCAGAAGTGTATCCGGGAGGATTGTTTCTGATGGGCAGAGAGCCGTTCAGGGCCCCTGTGCGAAGCGGCCCACACCTGTCTGGTCCACGGAGGCAAAATCAGTGGTGCCTGGCGGAGGTGGCGGCCCTGAGAAGCTGGGCATCAGCACCGCCTCCCTTCTGTCACAATTCTGTGCTGTTTTCTGTGGCCAAGCCCGGGATCTCGCCTTTGCTCTTTGACGAAGGGAATGGATGCTGTTGATTGTCTTTCCCCAGTATGGGGGAATTCTTTATTATTTCAAGAAAATGACTAAGGGATTCCTAGAGATTGAATTTAGCAGAATCAGTCACAGGGAAAGCATTGCAAGGGTGGAAATACATATCGAAATACATTTATCATCGCAAGATTCTATGATACAAGACTTGAAACAGGCCTGCAGAGGGGACAGAGCCATGGGATGGAAGCACAGACTGGGCAGCAACTTACAGTAGGAGGAACCGAAGCCCCCTCCCTGAGGTAGGATGACGAGAGCTGCTGAGCCGTGGTCCTCACTCTGGTGGCCCCAACACACCACTTCTCCCTTTTTCTCTTTCCCTCCCTCCCTCCTTCCCTCCCTCGCTCCCTCAAACCCTCTCCCCGACCATGATGTTGGATGCCAACCGCAAGGAAAAGATTGATTTCAGTGCTGAGTGCTTTCTCAGGGGCAGGCCTCTGTGCCAGGAGTTCTTCTATCCATTCCAGAGACTTTCCATCCTCCTTGAGACCAGCACTGCCCATTTTTCTGGGGCCTTGAGGCAGATGTATGCACCCTGGCAGGGTGCATACGCTGATAAATAGAACAGTGTTGGACAATCAAAAGTAAACATTCTGGGGAGAAAGAAGGTATGAAGCAATGATGGGAAACAACTTGTGAGTTGGACAGGCATTTCTCCAGTGGCCATCTGGGCAGCTCTGTCACTGCCATCCTGGATCTCAGGGTCTCAGGTCCAGGCAGGAGCTGGCACCAGGCAGCAGTGACTATCGCTGGAGGGAAGTCACTGCAGAGAAAGTCTGAACAGAGCCCAGGCAGGGGGCTCTGTCCCAAAAACAGCCGCTATCACTGCTCAGGTGAAATTGGCTAGAAGCCCAGAGACAAATGGTGGCCAAGAAGGGTTGGCCTGCTGTCCACAGGCTCCATCACTCACCTCAGCTCCCCTGGCAGGAAGGCTGCTCTTCTTCTGTGGAAGCCCACTGGCTGTCCCTGGCTCTTAACATCCCTAGATGTTTGCCAAAATGCTCAGGCTGCATCTGAACCTGCCAGCTGTCCTCTTGGTGCACTACAGTGTGGGAAGTGCAGTGGCATGCCCCTGGACCTACTGCCCACCCGCTCTGAGCTGCTACTACTCAGCCACCCACCTGCAGTGAACACAGACAATCACCTGCCCCGCTGCACTGGGGAGAAAAGGACTGGGAATGCTCGGAGGGACCCGTCCTGAGTCCGCCTGAGTAGGGTCCTGTGTCTGTGCTACTAGGAACTCACACTTATAGAAGGATGTGCCAACCCTCCACGTAGCCTTGGACAAGGGTGAAATTTGCCCCGAAGGCCTGAGAGGCTCCAGCCCGCTGCCTTAGGCTGACAGCTCTGGGCAATGGCATTTCTGCTTTCAGTCCCCAGTTTCCTCAACTGTAAAATAAAAGTGTCATGTCAATGACAATGCAAATATGTCCTGGGAGACCCTGATCCTACCAGTCTTTCCCTGAACCTATGTTGGGTCTACATCCTGTTATTGCTTCAGTTTCCCTTTCAGAAGAAAATCTCCCAGAGCCCAGCTTGCCTGTGTGCCCACACTCTGTCAAGGGCGCTGAGCTCTGAGGCCCCGAGAAGAGCATCGTGGGCTATTGCTGCATGGCTGATGTCAGCTATGACACCAGCTGCATATTTATTATTCTAAAAAGAGGTTTCTTTGAAATTAAAAAATGGATACTTGGAAGCAAAAGGAGGAATCCTCTCAGTGAGCAAGCCCAGCTCCAGGCCCCACTTCTGCCACCCTCAGGAGGAAACAGACAGCCCAGCCGTGATCCAGAGCAGCTGGCCTGGCCAGGCCTTCACCACCAGCTCTCAGCTGACCAGAGCTGAGAGCCACTGGAGCTCCCTGGCCACGTGCACTCTGTGTGTCCTCAATAGGCGGAGACATTCCTGCCTTGTCCTGAAAATCGGCACTGTCGGTGATTGTCAAAGTTGCATGGGAGATGCTCAGAAGAATGACCCTCAGAGCAAGCTGCCACCAAGCTGCTGCCATGATTTCTGCGTCAACCTGACAGCAGCTTCCAGCCCAGGAGGGCCATTTGTCGACCTCCATCACTTCCTCTTCCAGACACA